CGCGATTTTTCACATTTTTTTCTACAAAATCTGTATTAAATATTTTTACAAAATGTGCCCGAAAATTGTTGATCACGAAGAAATTTCTGACTGTAGTAAATCCAACCGATTGTTGAAAGTTGCGCACAAAAATTCAGAAAAATGCGAAAAGTGAGTCGTGGCTGCTGGCAGTTGGGCGATACTTCGATTGCAAAAAGGTCGTACGACCGGTGTATTTTTGTCTTAAATGCTTTAAACGCGAATTTCTCATAAAGTTTTTGTACAATTTTTATAAAAAATTGTGGGTTTGTAGAGCATGCCTTAAGCTATCGTTTGAAGGCCTAAAAATGTTTGTACAGCAAATGTTTATATACATTTTGTGGGCTGAAAAAAAGACTTGAGACGCGATTTTTCACATTTTTTTCTACAAAATCTGTATTAAATATTTTTTACAAAATGTGCCCGAAAATCGTTGATCATGAAGAAATTTCTGACTGTAGTAAATCGAACCGATGGTTGAAAGTTGCGCCCAAAAATTCAGAAAAATGCCACAAGTGAGTCGAGGCTGCTGGCAGTTGGGCGATACTTCGAATGCAAAAAGGTCGTACGACCGGTGTATTTTTGTCTTAAAAGCTTCAAGTAGTGATGCAAATATTCGATACTTTCAAGTATTGATCGATATTCGATGCTTTGGAAACAAGTATCGAATAAAAGTATTCGATACTCGATACTTTTACGTTATTCCGTTAAAAATCCCTTTTACAAAAATCGGTAAAAATCGTATGACTTTTAATCTTGTGCTCTTACTCATATTGACTTCTTTGGAAAACATTGCATACAAACTACTGAACTGCTGTTGAAGCTTGTTGTTACCTTTATACCATATATAGTTTTAACTATTTCAGCTATTTGCGGATATATTTTTCCCATTCTTTTCGGCACGCGAGAGGATCTCGATGTTTCTGCAATAAATCTTCTTAAATGCTTACTGAGATTTTTCATTATAATCGCTCCAAAAATAATTGCCGTTTGTTTGATCCACGTTGTGGTCCGGTAAATTATCATTTTGAAACCTGTTTATACACTGCTCCTAAACTAATCTCCATTCAACCATTGTAAAATTTTCAACCCGTTACTTTGCTTTGGCGACGCTTATTATGAAAATCTATTTTAACGATGATGTTTGAGTATCGAAATATCGACATAATTTTTTCAATACTCATCGAATACTCAAATTGCTCAACAGTATCAAATACATACCATTCGATACTCGAAACTATTCGCATCACTAAGAACTATACACAAATACGGAAGTTTTTAACTGACGATTTAGGCCGTAATTTTCAACCAGATTTGAAACCATAAATCGGCTCGGCAGAATCGTTAATTTGTCCGTTAAAAATATAAAAGGTGGCCGTCGGCAGCATCAAAATTATAAACAGCCTTTTGTTTACGCTCTTTAGTGAGTGCTCCCATTCAATTGATAAATAGTTCACTTATAATAGGAATACATACAAAAAACCTTTTTATTAGAACACGCAACACTAGATAGGCGAACTAAGCCTAAGAACTAATTTTAGATGTTTTTGGTAGTCTAAATACGGCCAACATTTTAAAAGCCTCTTCAAAGTGAATTTTTATGAAAAAATTAATAAGTTAAGGATTACGTTAGAAATATGTTTTTTCTTCAAAAAAAAAAAAAAAAAAAAAATTTAAAAAAAAAAAAAAAAAAAAATAAAATGAACAAAATTGTATTCACTTTTTTCTTTAGTTTCCATATTTTTTTTTAATATGGTCGTTCGAAAATAACTAAAAAAAAAGATTTCACTCGCATACAACAACTTTGACCACGTACTAAGAAGTTGCCGTTCATTAAAAAAAAAAAAAAAATACACCGTTATTTGGTTTGAAATTTTTTATTTCAAATACGAACAAAAATAAGTTTTTATATAGGTACGTAAAAAGGCGTTTTGCCATAAAAACTGGTAAATTTGCCCATAGTGTTTTGTAGAGAACAAATAGATTAGTCAAGTCGCAGAGATATCGGCGAATAAAGAGCGAGTGGAGTTCACTTGAAGAATATTCTATAAGATGCTTAAGTCTCCAGTAAATCCAGTAAACATTGAGCGGAAACCTGAACTCAAGCACTTGCAAGGCGCTTCCGGTCTGGCGTTGCCGATCGGAGGCGATTCACTGAGCTGCCTAAGCTCCTTAATACTACATATATCTCAAATTTTACTAATCGTAGAAATTGAAATTTGATGAAACTCAGTACATATAACTTCAAATATATGCTATCGTATCTGTGTCGGGGTAAATGAGCTCGAATCAATATTTGTTCGTAACTTAATTTATTCTACTTTTTAATTTCAGTTTTCCTCAAAGGCATTTTTGCGCTTCTGCGTTCACCTACAATGCAATAAAATGTAAACTTCTGCTTTAAGTATTTCATTGAAGTTTTGAAGTGGCAAACAATTATTTCCTGGCCCTGTCGGAAAATCAGCCGACAACAACAAATAAAAAGTTATTATTTTTTTCATGAAACTTTCAAGCATTTCAAGTGTTATCTGTGGACGCGCAAGTAAAAAATAGAAATAAAAAATGTATAGACACAAATGTATGTACGTAAAATAACGGACAACTCGCCATAAAGCCATGAATATGTGCAACAAATTTTAGAGAATATAAACATTCAGATTTGCATTAGACTGTTATACATTCACCCATCTCTATGTCTGTCTGTCTGCCTGCCCACACGCCCGATGTACGCATGCATCAATGAAAATGAAAATATTTTGAAAATGCAAACAGATTGGTAAAGCAAATGGTCAATATTTATACTGGCTATAGCTGCAGCGCCTAAGCTCTCTCACTCTTTGCCGCACTCCCGCCAATGCAACGCTGCTGGAGGGTGCAGCATTGAAGAAGAAGAAAAAAAAAACGAGGGAGCTGTTAGCTCTCGTATTGTTGTATTTCTGAAAAGAGTCTGTTAACCGTTTCATTGCACATGCATGCACAACTCGTTGGCAGACTGGCTGGCTGGTCGGCTACAGCGCCTGAACATATGCAAATGTAAATGAAAATGAAAATCCGACACACGCATGAACAGTGCTCACATACATACATAAGTATTAAGAGGAGGGGTGAGGTAGAGTAAACATATATGTATGAGTAAATAGTAGCTACATATTTGTGGAAAAAATTGTAAAAAATTTGCGAGCGTCCAAAATCGACAGGCTGCACTAGCGAACATTGACGTCGCCGCACTCCATATGTGCACTAATCTTGCAGGCTGGTGGTGTGCAGTGGTCAGCAGGTCGCACATATGGGCGCGAGGAGGTACACATGTTCGAAAGCAGTCTAGAATATTTGCCAGTCAGCTAGCCAGCCAAGTTTTATTTTGTTTTGCTTGCTGTTTGGTTGGCTGGCTGCTTGGTTAGGCACTCGGTTTGATTGTGGTTGCACACACACACACACACATTCGTTTTTTAGTTGGCATCGTGAGCGCTTTTCCCCTACACTTTTCAAATTTAATTTTGTTTTGCTTGGCCTGCTACACATACTACCTAAATTTGTATGCATATTCCTGCCATTGCAGCTGCCTACAATTCCTTCTGCTTTCCACCCACGCATTGCAACGAATGTTTGTTATTCTTTTGACTTCTAAACTTGTTATTGTTTTTTGTGATTATTATTTTTTAGTATTCGTTAGGCATTCGTTTAATTTCTTGTTGTTGAGTTTTCTTTCTCTTCTATTTGCATGCTATTAAAGTTCGCTTGAATACATTTTGATGATGCTCCAGCTGAAGCGAGCGCGTGTTCAGCCGATTTTGATGGCTATTCAACTACGAATATATGTATGTACATACGCATTTTTAGGTAGCGTGTTTTTAGGCGTTCGAGAGTTTAGCGAAAACAATTTGTGTGTATGTACACTAGGCGACAAATGAAAGTGTACACCTTGTTCCAATATAATATTCACAATTATTTTTATGAAAATTTTTTTGCATTAATTATTTATGAAAATATAATATAAACCATATAAATCATAGTTTCACACTTTATATAAAGTTCACAAACATTATATAAATTTGCATCAAAATTTTCAAGTTTTTACTCAGAATTTCTCGTGTATACAATTTTGTAAGCCAAGCAAATTTCGAAAGGCTAAAAAAAAACCGCGTTGATTTTTGAGAATATTTTTTTTTGCAAACTACTGAGATTTTTTTTTTTTATAAACCAAGTGCAGTTTGCACACAGTGCAGTTGCACTATTTTTCATACGAAATTTATGTTTATATGGAAAAAGGTGCAAAAATCAGTCACCAATAATAAATTCTCAAAAATCAAGGGAATATTTTTAGCCTTTCGAGGCTTAC